ATAGAAGTATTTATTCCATGAATTATTTTTTTGCTATCATTGTGGTAACTTTACAGGTGAACTAATAGTGCCAATTTAACATTCAATTAAGTTTTATTTCTTCTGGAACCAATTTCATTCTTCATATTTATTTGGAGACTGGGTATATCAGGGGAAACTTTTTAATCTACTAGAAAGCCTAAAATCTGAGGTTGTTCTCATTCAGCAAAATGCATGTAAAAGACAGCCAGTAAATTATCATATATAGAGCCCTAGGCTTCAAAAAATGGAGTAATTCTAAAGGAGCAAAATTTATTGTGATTTAAATTCATTCTTGAACTGTGGTTCATACCAATCAGATTATGCCTCCTAAAGGACTTTTAATACAAAGAGAAATCATTTACCCCAACGTAGAGGTTGAAATCAATAGCTTCAACGTGTATAGTTCAGGTCTTCCTAATGCAACATTAGTATTTGCAGTAGCAAAATTTTCAAGCGCTCTCTTGTACATTAAAGGAAAAATGTTGTTTTTATACTTCATTGTACTTAACCAAGCCAAAGATGTATGATCACGTATCAAAGTAAACCATCTCCCTAGCTTGTAAAATCTCATCCTCAAGGGCCCATTCATCTTCAAGAAGATCAGAGACTCTCCTTCCATTTTGGCATTATTCAGTTAGATAGCAACTGCGTGATGGATTCAGATTCTAAATGATAGCCCAAGATCTTACTAATTCTTCAGCCAAAGCAAACCTTGCTCTTCATGTCATTTTTGCTGTGTTTTTATAGCTGTAGTTATACAAGCTTGACTTCTAGCAGCTTATTTGTGTGCAGGGACATATAATGGAAGTAAACACTGGGTTGATAGGATACCTGTGAAATCCATGAACATTTCTTATATACAAAACTTGATGTAGTCCTGCTTCTAAGAAAGTTTATATGCAGCAGTGTCACCAATGTGGATTTACAAATTCTGCGTCGTGTGTCCTATTATCTGCTTCACTGCATTTGTAAATTGCTTGTGTTAAAAAGCCATAAGTACAATTTGGCAAGCTTGTTCTTTCACATATTAAAACATTCAAAATATACCTTTAAGGGAAGCAAAATAAGGACATGAATGCCTGCATTCCCAACAAATACACTGTTGATGGAATGACTCAGTCTAAACAGATTTGCAGTTAATTTTTAAGTGCCAGAGGAAGCAGTTGTTCTAGTCACATTTTCTCTTTGTGAGGGAACTTTCCAGCATTTGTAACCACTTACTCAACCCTAGAGCAAAAAAAAAAAAAAGAGGAACGTATCTGACAATCATTTAAAATGACAGACATTAGCCATTTCTTGTGTACTTGCTCCACAGACGTGAAAGGACAATGACATAACCTTAGGCTTCCTGAAAGTGAAGCCCTGTCAGTGTCAACTGCTATGCTTGTGTCATATGCTGTCTATTGCTACATTGAAGGCTGACTCAGTTGTGCAAGATGGTTGAATCTGGCCTTTTTTTTTTTCCGGCTCAGCTGTCTGTGATAGCAATCGAGCGGCAGTCTTACAAGTATCCAGCTGCGCACAACCTTTGGCTGGCATAAAAAGTTCTGTACGCTTGGATTCCATTTCATTTAGTACTTGATATTAGGTCACCAGTAGTGCAGCGCAACAAACAGCTCTGCACTGCTGTTTGAGGCTAATTATGATGACAATCTTGCACTTCAGTGAAGCTGGTGAATTAGGTCCTCTTCTTCACTGCAAAGGAAAGGAAATGGAACATTTATCACAGGAGGTTCTTTTCCCATCATTGTTCTAACTACACAAAGATAGTGTAGAAGAAGTTTATTAGCACAGCATCTTAGCCATGGTCCATAGCAGTGGCAATGAAAGGAACAGTATCTTTTGCTTTGCTGCTGCAGTTTCAATCAAATGCTGAATCTCCATCCTCTATTACAGACCAATTCTTCTTGATTTCTCTTTGCAGTTGAGTTGAGATGTACCTCCCCTGCTTCTACCCACCAGAATTGATTTAAAAATAAAGGAAGCTCACTTTACAGCAAATGTTGATAAAGCTATTTTCTAAAGCTGTTTTCTAGATATTGGTCACAGTCTGATCTCAGTGAGGTCGGCAGGAGTAAATATTGACAAAGAAAAGTGTGTTTAACTTATTTCTTAAAACAGGTTTATTTAACACTGGGTTAGTACCCCAGGTCCAACAAGGATTCAGGGATATGGAAAAGCCAAGGCCGGGTAAGGACTGTAATGGGCAATTTGATGAGTTCAACTTGATAAGAGGTAGGGATTGTTTCCCAAGGCTAGAAATGCTGTTCAGAAAAAACAAAGAAAAGAACGAGCAAAATTTTCCAGCATTTTAATTTTTCTGGTTTTCACTACTGACTGGGAAGCCCTTTGCAAAGGCTTGTGTTTTGAAAAATAATGAGTTCAGAGTCTGATGCAGATCCAATGAGTTTTTCCTATGACTTGAGTGGACAGTGGATCAGGCCCAACGGGCAGAAACAACAAAACGATAAAGATAATCAAAACAAACCGTATCTGGTTAGTCGGCAGGCTGCACGCAGTTTTATGTCTGACAAGGCTCCAGTGCAGAAAAGCAGATATAAGGAAGGAAGTTTTGCTTATTCTTACAGCCCTCTGCTTTTTACTGAGCAATTGGGAGAGAGTGCTGCTTCTTATGTGTGTACATGATGGGCTAAGATGGTTGGCAAAATATTATTGCAATGTTCATCTTTTTCTCAACTTTTGTAGATGTCAAAAATAATTTGAGACAAAAATGCTTACCAGGGGAAGGGGTTTGCAAAAATGTTTGCAATAGCAGCTAATTCCAACTTATCTATACAATACAGGTATAGGTATTGCTATTGAAATTTCAGCCTGGTTTTGAATTGGACATAACAGGTTTTATTCCTATTGCCTCCTGCCATGCTGTTGTGAGGAAAAACAGTCAAAAGGAGAACAAATAGTTTATTTAACTGAACTAATTAAAAAAGCTATTTTTTTGGAAGGAAAGGGAAAGATTGATACAGAAAACTCACCTAGAGTATACAAATAAGCTTAAAGACCTCTCATTGCAGGACAAAAGACTGATCAATTTGAGTCCAGTTTTCCAACTGCATGAGATACAGGGAAATATTAAAGAGCAAGGAAACTTTCTTTTGTCTAAAACCCATGGGGAAGAAATCCACACGTTATAACAAACAACGAGTCTACTTGCCAAGAGCTCCAAAGCCTTTCAAAACTCCACTGTACATATGAATAACGTAATCAATAACTGATCATATGCCTTCCTTGAAAGAAGATTGTATCTCATAAATATTTTTGTTAGGTTATATTACTGAGCCAAGTCAATAGGAGCTTCATACAAGCATGTATTTCTATATCTTGCAGAATTGAGGCCTTAGTAGAGAAGGGAGAAAATAGACAAAATTAATTTGAACATCCCTAAAATATTTCATGCCAAGCAACAGATTAATTTACCAACTCAAAAACATGGTATATTTGACATGTATTGAAATGAATTACAAACTGACTTAAGATCTAGAAACATAGAGTGAGAAGAAAATAAAACTATATGGGATGAGAGATACCATCATTTGTTTTAAAGTTGTGTAAAATGATATAGCTACATGAAAACCAATTAAATATATTTTGGACCTTGTCTGCAGGCATGAATATTATATCTACTGCTCTGTGACTATGAGGCTGTCTCTTGACCACACCCATTACTGTAGCATTTGAGGGTTGTCTCTTCTGTTGCTGCAATGACCTTGAAGAAAATTTAATTTCAAGTGTGGCTAAATTTAACACTACAAAATCGAGAGAAAATTGGGGCAATTACAGAGGAACAAGTTCAAAGTGATTTGCATAGATCAAGGCCTAAAGTATATGCTAAGTGGCTCCTGACATTCAGTGTGCAGAGCAAAAGTAGGAATCTAGGAACTAAAAATAATTGCAATGTTATAATCTCCTGTATAAAATACAGAACAAGGAAACGGATGGGGGAAGATCACAATTAATAAGCTAAAGTCAATCATGAATTGCCACAGTCACATTTGCAAACCAGATCTTGGTTACAGAGATGTTTGTGTGGGGGATAATATTCTGGCACCGTACTATCTGTAGAAGATAACATTTAGAATGTCAGGAGAAGATTTCATTTTTACTCTAGGAAAGATACAGAAGGAATAGCCGCAACAAATTGCAGTCAAAATATTGTTGTGTTTGAGTATTGGGAAGTGGTGAATTGGCCTCTGTAATGCATCAAAGAATGGTACCAAAGGTGATTTTCATGGTGGTGCATATGAATCTGACAGACAAAAGATTGTATGGATGGAAATAGCTATTGAGCAAGCAATTGTTATCTGAAGTAAAGGAATGAAAAGCACAGGAATTCTCTAGTACAGACTGAGTTTCATTTCCCAGATGGTGGTAGGCTATGTTATCTTGTTCTTAGCAAACCATCGTAATCAACCACAGACACAAGTGGGAGAAATTACCACAAAAAAAAAAAAAAAGAGCATATGCAAAAGTTTGCATCCATTATTAGTGTAACCCAGTGTCCTTTAGGATCAGTCAGCATCAATTTTGGCCTTCTGTCATATACCCTGTATAATCCCATTCATTTCAATGGGAGTCATGAGCCTATGTGAAAGCTCAGTTGGATCTGCATGATATAGCTCCATAGCACTATATGGCTTTAAGCCAGCAAAGCTTTTGTAATGCTGCTTTCTCCTTTTAATAACCATTATTGTCTAAGTGCATTACCTCATCTGTTGGCCACAACCCAGACATGTGTGTCCTAAAGGAAAAAAGAAATGTTTTACTTTCCGACTGATTCATCCATATTTTTTTCATTAATAAATCTACTGTTTAAGGAAAATCAATATTCTTCAGCAGCTATTGAGAAAGGTTAAAATGGTGTATGACACCCATTTTAATTGATAGTGAACTCAAACTATTAGCAGGCTGATGTTGAAAACTGAACATATTGTGTTAAAAGGCGTGTATATATATATTTGCAGCTTGGGTGCATGGTGACCCCAGGAAAGTGGTCTATCCGACTGACAGCCATGGGCAGTTCTGCGGCCAGAAGGATACCCCCAATGAGTGAGTACTAAATACAGTCTGTGGCTTCATTAGTCATTCATCGTGTATAATAAATGAGGAACTTGATCATCCCTCTCCTGACCCTAAAATCTATGAAATCTATGATATGACTGGCAGCTTCTCAGCCTGCAGGACCTGCAAAGGCTGCCAGATTTCTACCACGACCTCCTCTGGGCCTGGAGGCTGGTCTCCACCTCCAGGTCCCCTGCAACATTTGCCCAGGGCATCGACCTGCTCATCGAGCCCCTCCTCTGGAACCTCCAGCTGGAGGTGCCGACAGCAGAGGCGCCCCGGTTGCAACAGAGGTGTCACCCATATTGGAGATCTCCTGGACTACGATAGGCAGGAGTGGGTGGACCCCACTGCACTATCCTGGCACATGGGTCTACCCATGACACATGCGGCCTGGCCTAGTGGCACTTCCCGCTCCACCACCTAAGCCAGATGGAGGACACCAGGCTGGTTCACTTTTCCACCATCCATCATTGCCAGATCTATACGCTCATGTGCTGCACAGTTCATCATGCCCCCCTTGTGTCCTGCTCAGACACCAGGTGCTTGGACCTGCTCAGTGAGGGCATGGCTGGGTCACCCCAGTAGCAGAGTCTGTACTCCAATCTCATCCCACAATCCACTGGGGACCTCAGGTGGCGGCTCCACCTTGGAGCCATTGCCACAGGCATGTATGTGGCGAGCTTCACAGACACCCTGGTCTCCTGCCCCTTCTGTGGGCAGAGGGAGACCCTGGTGCACATGACCCTCGAGTGTGCCAGACTGCAGCCCCTCCACCTCCATCTCCAGAACCTCCACCTGAAGTTCTGGTTGAATTTCACCCACCACCTTTTTGTTTTTGGTCACCCCATCCACAACCCCACCAAGTTCTGGGACCTCCTGGTCAGCCACCTCCTGGCCCTGGCCAAGTGGGCCCTATATTTGACCAGGAAAGAGGCTCTGGCTAGGAAGGTGCCCGGAGACTGCAGGGCCACTTGTCTGTGCACATTTCCAGGCAGAGTACCAGTGGGAGGTGTCCACTGACTCCTTGGATGCCTTTGAGGACTGGTGGGTGCTGTCCAAATGGCTAAGAGGTCAGCCACCTTGTTTGCTCTCCAGTGCTGGCCCTGGATGGGCTCTTCCACCAGGGTCTCACCACTTGCCTCTCCAGCAGAGATCCTGGTGTTCCTTGCTTAAAAATTGCAAATTCTTTGATAAGAAACCCAAATTCTCTCATTAAAATACTCAAAATCCATGTTCTTCCACTATTAAAATGAAACCCCTATATATAGAGAGATCAGTTAGGCAATGTTTTATTGATATATTTACAAGTTTAAAGCAATTTGGAAGCCTGTCAGTGCCTCTATCATCCTAATAAAATGGATTGTAAATATCTATACACTTTGGCATTTACTTTTGGTTTTTTTGTCATAGAAAAATCAGAGCTGCCCCTACCACATTTGCTCACCAGGATGTGTGACACTGAGCAGCACTGATATGCCAATCCCCTGCCCTTGCCCCTCACTCTCAACCTACAGCTCATCCCAGTCCTCTCACTCCTGACCCACAGCCCCTTCCTCCCCTCACTAGCTCCCTCCCAGCCACAGCTTCATCCCATAACCAGGCCATGAATCCAGCTGCAACTGTCACACCCACTGCTCTGAGGCTCTGAGGAGTGCCAGCTCTTGCTGTTCTGAACCCTGCCTCATGTTCCTGGGAAGCCTTCCAGGGCTCTTTCCTCCCAGCCTGGCCTCCCCCTACATAGGCTGCTCTAGGGTGGCAGGGAAGCTCCAAGCCTGGCTCTGGAGATCTCTCCTACCTGGAGCACTCCCCCACCTGTAACCCCCACATCTCTCTCACCCACCCTTGCTACCGCCTCTACTCTAGCCCATCACCCCCTAAGTGTGTGCTGGGACCAGGAACACCCCCAAGCTGGGGCTGCATGTCCCAGCACCGGTGTGGGCATGGGGCAGGGCTGCAATGTGGCAGTTGCCCCTGCATCTGCGGCTCCTGCCAGCAGGTTCTGTCCCATCCTGTTTGGCGGCTGGGCACACAGGATGTGATTTGTTGCGGGGATGTGGAGATTTATGCAGGTGAGGTTTGTGGACGGGTATGGGGCTTGTGTGGAGGTTTGGGCGGTGTGAGGTTTGTGGTTGGGTATGTGGGTGGGGCCTTTGTGGGGGTGGTTTGAGGCCACAGGGACTGTATGTGGGTGGTGAGCTGCTTCGGAGATGTGGGTCTCTTGCCTGCCTCCCACATGGTGCACAGCCCCCTGCAGCAGCAGTGGCTGTTGGGGCACCCAGGGCCCTCCTGGCAGAGCCCTCCCCATGGCATACGGCAGCATGATGGAGCCCTAGCCACCTGGCACCCGGCACAGTCTGTACCACATCACGTGGGGGTGGCCTGTCCTTGTCTGGAGCTATGCACCTTCGGGCAGCGCTGGGCCACTCTGGCTGTCACCCAGGGTCCTGGCATCACTCGCAGGGGCTGTGCTTGGGGCCAGGCTGGGTCCTGCCTCCATGGAACTGGCCTAGCTCGATGGCATGCAGGTCACTTGGAGGCAGGACCCAGCGTGCCCCGATGTGCGGTCCCTGCAAGCAGGGCTGGGACCCCGGGTGACTACTAGAGCAGCCCAGTCCTGCCCAAAGGCACACAGCCCCCAGCTGGGCCAGGCCTGCATGATATGGCACAGACAGTGCTGGGTGCCAGGTGGCTGTGGCTGTGCTGCACTGCACCATGCCACAGGAGGGCTCCGCCAGGAGGGCCCTGAGTGCTCTGACAGTCACTGCTGCTGCACGGGGCTGTGCATTGTGTGGTGGGCAGGCAGAGGACTCACCCCTCCTGAGCAGCTCACCACTCACACAAAGTCCCCTACACCCTGACAGCCCCCCACCTCCAGTTCCCCCCCACCCACAGTCCCTATTTGCCTGGGACAGAACGCAGGTCCAGGTCATGCCTTGCCCTGCTCTTGTTTGCCCTGCATGCTATGGCAGCGTGCTGGAGCACCGAGGTAAGCGGCAGCCATAGAGATGGTCTGGCCATCTCTATGGCCAGACCATAGAGTCTGGCAGAGACCATTGTTTGGTGGAGCCTGCCCACCTCTCCCATGGCCAGGAAGTGAGCTGCCCTGGGGGGCACTGCCACTGCAGAGGAAGGGGCCCCCACACAGCTCAGGGGTTGCTTGGCCTGCTGGCAGGTCACCTCCCAGCCATGGGCAAGGCAGGCAGATTCCACTGGACAAAAAAAGAAAAGGATTAGGCCCCTAGCCATAATGTGATGGAAAAATTGAAATGGTTTAGTTCTCAGGATTTTATTCTATGCCCCACTGTTTCAATTTAGGGGGCACAGAATAAAACCTTAGAGATTAAACCCTCATCACGTGTACAAGCACCCTAGAAGTGCAAGGTACCTTGCTGTAAGACAGATCCACTAGGTCTTCTCCAAAGTCAAGGGCCCATAGCTTCCATTTTCTCCATCCCTAGGACAGACCCACCAGATGCATCTGCCCTGGAGCTGTGACCCTTGCAGCTTTCAGTGTCCTCAACCCTAATTCCAATGCCTGTTGTTGCTGTTTCATGACTGACAAGAACATCAGTGTCACAGAGTTTCTGCAGGGGCTTGAACTGCCAGTTCACCAGATAGTTTAAACAATAATTGGTTTTGGTCCAATTCAGACATTTTAAGAACAATGACATTTCCAGCAGCCAGAAGCAACATCCACTGCTGTTGCTGTTGATGGAATAGCTGGACTGCTGAGCCACATTATGACTCATTGGCTGCATCTACGCATGCATTTACTCCAGCCTAGATTTACTGTGCAGTAAGATACTGCACAGTAAGGGTTTTTGGATGTGTCAACACATGTGGGGATTAGGGAGCAGATTTGCTCCCAATTCCCTTCAGCCCTGCAATGCACCCCTGTGGCCACTGGAAGGAGGTCCAGGGTTCCCCTGGGTCAGGGGTGAGCAAAATGCAGCCCGGGGGCTAGATGCAGCCTGCCAGGCCATTCTATCCAGCCTGTGGGGCCCCTACAAGATTTAGAAAATTTATATTTATCTGCCCCTGACTGCCTGTCATGCAGCCCTCAATGGCTTGCCAAAACTCAGTAAGCGGCCCTCTGCCTGAAATAATTGCCCACCCCATCCCTGGGTGCTAGCCCAGAGGCTGGTAGAGAGCACCGGGCCAGGAGATAGCTGTTTTCTGGCTCTGGGAGGCTGCCTGCTGCTGGGGCAGGGACAATGTCCCCCTGTCCTGGCAGCAGGGAGCTGCTGGCCTTGGCTCCCTGATCAGGCCTACAGAGCTTGGAAAAAGCTGCAGGGAGGGGCTGCAACCTGCCCCACCCCTGCAGCTCTGTTCTAAGCTTTGTGCATCAATCACCCAATCAGGGCACAGGGTTGGGACCTGCCCCTGATTGTGACAGTTTCCAGCCAGCCCCAAGCTGCACAGAGAAGTCTGCATGTGCAGCCTGGAGCTGGCTGGGGACCATGGGTGACTGGTTCCACCTTAGTCAGGGTGGGCACATGCCCCCCCTGTGACCAATCCCACTGAGCAGAGTGGGGGTCCCCTGCAGGAGATCCTGCAATTCTAGTGGGGAGGTCCCCCCATGGGTGATCCTGCAGTCCTGCACAGCAGGACCTGAGGTCCCCGCACAGGCAATCCTTCAGTTCCAGAGGGGAGGGTCCCGCGATGGCCAATTACTGCAGCCAATCACTGGGCTCACTGCAGCCCCTCCAGGAGTGGCTGTGGTTGCTTCTGGGAGCAAGCACTGGCCGATCACTGCAGCCACTCCCAGAAGCAGCTGCAGCCACTCCCAAAAGCAGCGGCAGTGAGCGCAGCAATCAGCCGGCACTTGTGGGGGGGCATTGGCTTTCCTGCCTGCCTCCCCTGCCCATCGCCTAAGTGGCAAGCACGGCTGTTGGGGTGCACCAGCACTCTCGGGTGGTGCATGTGCACCCCTGTGCACCGCCTACACATCACCACTGCTGGGGACTGCCAGAAACAGGACAGTTCCCAGCCACCTCCAGGTTGCATGTAGTTTCCTATGTATCCTGGGGCTGGCTGGAAACTGCCCTGGTCAGAGGCAGGTCCCAGCCAGCTCCAGGCTGGGCAGGGAACTGTCCTCATGCAGGGAACTCCAAACCTCTGATGATTGTGGAGTGGGGGCTGGAAATCTTGTTCCCTGCCCAGCTCTGTGGGCACAGAGCAGGAGGGGAATAGGCTGAGGAGCTATTTCCCCCTTTAGTTCCGTGGTTGCAGAATTATGGGGGGCAAGCTCCCCAGCCTGTTCCCTCCTCCCCAAGCTCCATGCTTGTGGAGCTGGACAGGAAACAAGCTCCCTAGCCCGAGCCTGCAGGGAGCTTCCAGCGCCAACTCCATGACCGTGGGGCTCAGGCTGGAAGATAAGCATCTCCCAGCAGTGGCCCTGTGGTGGCAGAGCTACTGCTGGGAGCTAAAGGTCTCCCAGCCCCTCACTGTTACCAGATTTGCCCATCACTTTGGGGTGTGCTCATTTATTAGGGATACATTTCTAGGGTCTTTGTAATTCTGTCAATGTGCTGCTTGTGTGTACTGGTGTTTCTAAACAGAGCTCTATCTCTCCCTTCTGCAAGTCCTTACCCCTCTTGCAAGCCTCAGTTTCAAGGGGGCTGTTTCCCCCCAGCCACAAAATCAGTCACATGCACACACACACAGATTAACATGACACGCCTGACCAGGCTGGGTTGATCAGCACGGATAGTCTGACACCTTCATATGCCAGGAATCAGTTCATTAAGGTAACAATAAAATGCAGTCAGACAGAAGCACACAGGTAAACAGAATGCCTCTGAATCCGACTGGGTGTCCAGATGACACCTTTATGGGCCAGCATTCAGTTCATTAGGGCATGTCTGAGCCAAACTGGGTCAGTCAGCCTCTACAAGCTGATCCCCTTATGTGTCTCAAACTCAGCACATCCCAATCTTTTGCCCTAACTGTCCTAGTAGGGGTAGCCTCTTGATGAGTGGACCCCACAGTATTTCTGAGCTTCACAGGGATCTTTGGCTTAGGTAAAAGAAGCGTTGCTGCGGAGCAAGTGGGGAAGGGAAGTAGAGAAGGAAAAATACACCCAGTTACCACCAGTTTGACTATAAAAGTTATTTATTGCTAAGTATATGAAATATATAATGGTACTAGTAATAATAGACATGCAAGGAAAAACAAACAAAACAATTACAATATTACCCTAGTTTCGTTGAGTATTTGGAGAAACTTAGCTCAAGCTTAACTAATACAATTCAGGTTCAGAAAGCTATGCCTAGAGAGAAAAAGAGAGAGAGAGAGAGAGAGAGAGAGAGAGAGAGAGAGAGAGAGAGAGAGAGAGAGAGAGAGAGAGAGAGAGAGAGAGAGAGAGAGAGAGAGAGAGAGAGAGAGAGAGAGAGAGAGAGAGAGAGAGAGAGAGAGAGAGAGAGAGAGAGAGAGAGAGAGAGAGAGAGAGAGAGAGAGAGAGAGAGAGAGAGAGAGAGAGAGAGAGAGAGAGAGAGAGAGAGAGAGAGCTGGGATCTCACTGCTCCAAGGCACTCGGGTGATTTGTTGACAAGCAAAGTTCTCAGCATGATCCTTGAAGGGAGATGATCTGTTTCTCCCAGCTTCTCGAGAACAACAGCGGATGGTGTCAGAGAGATTTCTTCCTCTTGAAGCATGCTGTTTGCTGCTTTTACAGATTTTTATACCCTCAGTTCAGCTTCTTCAAAGCACTCTTTTAATTGTGTAAATAATTATCTTTTCTATTGACAAGGGGTTATCTGGTTTGGTACAGCTCAAGAAACTGATTAACAACCAGGGAAAACATAAGTTTTTAAGGAGTAACCAGACACCTAGGAGCCAACTTGAAATTCTTATGAATAGCAGATATACTGGATGGGATACCTCATTGTTTCTTCTCAGATGGCTTGCAGCGTCAGGGTTTTGTATTTTACCTGTTGTGAATAACTCTCAGTTTAGCATGAGTGTTCATAAACTTTGTGGGGAGGACTTCCACCAGTCATCCCAGGAAAAGTATGACAGTATTTGTGGTCAGGGCTCCAACGGGCTGGACGCTGTGATGAACTCTTAACCATTGTTCAAATGTTGCCCATACCCTCTCTGACTCGGTTTCTTGCCTCAGCATTTCCTAACCTGGCAACCGAGTTTTAGTCAGTCAAGTTTAAATAGGCCTCCCATAGTGGGACCGGGGAATGTATGGCCCGAGATCCCTAGTAAACTTTTCTTCTGCTTAGTTCTGGCTAGATGAGGTGTGTGTGTGGGGGTGGAAATAGAAAAAGTCCGTTGCAAGTCCAGCAAGCTGGGTGCCAGGCCTCCCTCAGGAAGACAGAGCTGACAGGTAACACCCCCAATCATGATGGCAGAGTGGGGGCTGGAGTATAAGGATTTCCCAGCCCCTGTTCCGCAATCGTGATCGGGGAGCAGGCAGTTTGGAGCTCCCTACTGCTGGGGAAGGGGCACATAGTCCCCACCCAGGCTCCTATAGCAGAGCCTGCCCCAGCAGCAGGTGGCTCCCAGGGGCAGGGAGCTATCTCCCGTCCCCTGGTGGACAGCTGACTGGGAGCAGATTTGGCTCCCAGCCAGGCATCTACATGAGAACTAATGCCAAGTAAATTTGCTACTTGCATTTGCAGGTAGCAAATTTATTCAGGATTAGAGAGATTTACTGTGAAGTAAGCATATGCACATGTAGACCCACATGTTTACTCAGTAAACTATGCTAATTCGCTGCTAAGCATCTTGTGTAGATGCGCCCGCTTTGGTGCCAGGGTGCAGTGTGTGGTTTCTTCTACTTCCCTCACACATTCCTACAAGGGCCAGCCACAGCCTGGCTCAGCCCTTACTTGGTACCAATAAGTACTCAGCTTATGTGAAATTCCTCATCAGTTACTACATGATCCTGTTTTCCCAGGCAGCTGCTTTGGTTTTCTAGCAACAAACAACTCTGGATTGATTTTAGTGCCACCTCCTGATTAACAAAATAATCAGGGAATACTGGGTAGTGTGTGCTGATTGTAAGTTCAGATGCAATATGTACTGGGCACGTTCAGCAGAGAGAGATGTACTGAAAAACTAGAGTGTATGAAGAGATGGTCTGCCACCTAAACCACTAGCCATCCACTTTTAGGAGATGTCTAGGATCGAGACTTCACTAACAGTAAAGTAACGGGTTTCATCTTATGATACTGCTGAGGAAAATGCTCCACAAAATACCTGTACCTCAAGCACATCGTTTTGACATAATATAGTAAGAAACTCCAGTTTTCGTTTGGTTTTCATTTATCATCTGAATTTCACAGAGGTCTTTTTAGAAAGAATGACAGTAAAAGTGTCAACTAATTGTTAGTGTATATTGTAAGTCTGCATGTCATGTGGGTGTTTTTGTTATAAACATAGTGTACAAACATCTGGAGATATTAACATAATTATTTTATATCTACTTCTCTAGGAACAGGACCATTTTGTTTTACTTTAATATTCTGAAATGTGCCAGCCCAATAGTTCTAATTAACCTACAGTGCCCTACAACACAGGTAAGTGACGTACAGAGAAAATGTTCTCCCTGCCATTTGGTATGGATAGTTTGTAGAAATGTATTGATTTACTATTTGCATTTTGTAGAATGTAAAATAATCCTATAGTCTAGGTATAGCACAGTGTACACAATTCACGATGACCAGGAGAAAATACAGGAAGGAATAGGATTGTGTGTTTTGGATGTAGAGTGGAAGAAATTCCTAAAATAGGCTAGGTCAGGTCTACCTAATTATCAGTCATAATCTAGTACAGTAAAAGTTCTGTTATCTGACTTCTTACAAGCCGGCGTGCTCCACTAACCGGCATGCCGGCTTGTAAGATAAAGTGAAACCATAAGTGCCCACCATGGCACTTCTGGTTTCTCTGAGGCCCCATGGCTCGGGGCAAAGCAGCCTGTGCTGCCGAGCCCCCATGGCCCGGGGGCATAACAGGCTGTGTGGGGCCTGCCTCCCTGTCCCGCACGGCCTGCAGGAGGGGCAGCAATGCCGTGGGAGGGGCGGAGGGACGCCCCAGACGCAGTGGGAGAAGCAGCGGCCAGGGCCACTCAATTAACTGCCATATTTTGTTATTCAGCATCCCCCATTCCCGGGGGATGCCGGATAACAGAGCTTTTACTGTACAAAGAACTGTGCAGCCATATAGTTTTTGTAGAAAACAGTTTTGACAGGCAACTGGATTTTTCTAAACTCATCCCTTTTTAACCAGAACACGTTCCCTTGCTTTCAACCAGCAGTAATACTTGTTGGTCCAGGCATATCACATGCATTCTGTTCTGAGGGGCTGCAAGTCATCAATACAGTTGCTTAATTTTAGGTGACCTTTTAGATTGGCTAATCACTTGTTGATTGTTAGATAATCAGTCTCCACTTTAGAGTGGAGGTTGTGTTGTGCTATGCAGATAGAGAATAATACAGCACTGTCTCTGAATTTGCTGGTGTCTTAAATTATGCTCTATGGCCACATCTACATGGAAAACTTAGGCTGATCAGGGGCGCAGACCTGAGAAACAATGACATTTCCAGCAGGGGATATGGAAGAGGACAGTTATCTTTCTCTTCTCCTTTGCTGCTGCAGTCTGAATCAAATGCTGAATCTCCATCCTCTACTACAGACCAGTTTTTCTTGGTTTCTCCTTGCAGTTGAGTTGAGATGTACCTCCCCTTCTACCCACCAGATGTGATCGGGATTGGGGTGCAGGCTGGGAAACTGTCCCCTCCCTGAGCAACTGTTTCCCAGCCCCTGCACCGATCAGCAGATTGGGGCACAGAACTGGGAAACTGTACTTGCCCGCAGCAGCTGTTTCCCAGCTGTTTTCCCAGCTGTTCTGCTAGAGGACAGTTTCTCAGCCCTGCTCCCTGATCTACTGATTGGAGTGTATGGCTGGGAAACGGCTGCTTGGGGCTGGGAAACAGCTGGTGCTCCTGGAACTCTGAAGGCAGAAGCAGTGAGGAGCTGGATCCTTTTTTTTTTTTTTTTTGGCAGAGCCTGCCCACCTCTCTCATGGCCAGGGAGTGAGCTGCTGGCGGGGTCTGCAGCTCCTGAGCTGCAGGGGTCCCTGGTCCTTCCCTCCATGGCAGCAGGTCCCCCCTGGGCAGGCTGCTAGCAGGCCAGGTCCTGCCCCAGCTTGGGGTCAGAGAAGAGTTGGGTTGGGCTGGGTGCTGCCTCCTAGCTGGGGCAGGACCCAGCCCTCTAGCAGCCTTCCCCGGGTGGCCCCAGGGGGCACTGCTGCTGCAGAGGGAGGGGCTCCCCACAGCTCAGGGCTTGCTTGGCCCTTGAGGGCCAGTTCCCCCACCCCCTGCTTCCTGAGCTGACTGGGACCAATTAATCTACTGCGTAGTAAATGCTGTGCACGTGTAGACAGTGACACTTTACTATGCAGTAGATTAGTCTACTGCAGAGTAAAGCATCTTGTGTAGATGTGCCCACTGTAAATCAAGCAAAGTGAAATAGGCACAAACAGTAGGTTGTTCTTAGTGATATATATATTTTAGGTATAAAATATCTCCCTCAAACTGGAAGAACATCTTCTCTCCATTCAAAAATTTGACAGGATTGATTTGGACGCTGTCTTGTCCTGCAGGTTGTTAACTCTCTGGCTGTATAGGATAATGATAAGGAACCATCTGTTCTTTTATGGCTTGCTCTTTAAATGAAAGAGGAAGCTGTTTTTTCTTTACACTCCTTTCCCTTTCCATGATCTCTGCAGAGGGTTGTGAGTTAGAAGAGCCAAAGATCTAGTCTCCATTAATAAAACTATGGCTTTATAAACAGGTGTAGCACATTTCACTGCCCAATTTACAATTGAAGATGCTGGTGGTTACAATGACAAATGTGCTCAGAGTAGCTGATTTTTCTGAACTAGGGTAAAATTAAATTGTCTTGAGTCCCAGCCTAATGGCTAATCCACCAGACAGTGGCACTGACACCAGTAAATTATTCTGTGGCATTCAGCCTCTCTTGTAGATTAGCATGATATCCCAGTCTGGACATTCCTTCAAGTGTTAATAATGTGAAAGAATTACTGAGAACTCTTGTGCAGCCTACCTTGGAGGTAACATTTCACTCATTTGTATAGCATCCCTCTAAAAGGAGGGGTCTGAATTGTATAGCTTGGCATGGCAGACAGAGTTTCTCAGCTTTTTTGGTGCCAAAGAGTTGCGCTTCAAGCTGAATCAGACCAGGTCAGAACTCAGGAGTACAGAGGTGGTGGAGGGGATTAATGGTTATATTGATCCAGTGAACAAGACCTTGTACTAAGCGTTTTCAAAGGCAGCCTACTTGTGGATATATTCAGTCATTCCCAATCCTCACTTAGTTTCTTATGCTGTTCTTGCTTATTCTGGCTTGATCTGGGGAGGTGTGAATTTTACTGCTGACACGTACACCCACCCAGTTTATTTTGAAACCAGTGGGAGTTCTGTAATGGATAAATGGCAATATAATGACCTTAATCTGGTTCACCTGACTATGGAGTGATATAAGCCTAACTTGACTTGGACAGCATCATGGAAAGCGGACTTGATTGAAGATACTTTATAGGAGGAGGGTGAAGTAGTTTTAGCTGCATCAGATTTTATTGATCAGAGTTATACAACTGCAGTAGAGAAAAATGCCACGTTTTGTGAAACCAGCTACTGCCCCAATGTGATCCCATACAGGGTTGCTTGTGCAGAGTGAATCTAAAGCAGACAATATTTTTTCACATATTTTCACTTAAAGTTAAAAAGAAAAATGAAGCCAAAAACCAAGCAAACAAAAAACTTCTTTAAATTTTATATGTCTACCAGAATATGTGGAACCTAACAAGACATATGGAGCAGTTGAAAGATACAGTACATGGGGAGTCATTTGAAATTGTCTTTTATCAAAAGGTTTAAAAAGTGTTTATCTAGAGTTTCTAAAGAAAAAAAAAATGACCTTGTCCCTTTCTAAATGCTACAGTAAGCATTTCTCCAAGCAGTCTGATCAAATGGAGCACTTTTATAGATGGGCATTTTTTGTCTTTCTGTTTTGATTGCATGAATCTTCTTTTTCTTCCAGTGTATCACAGGGCATTTTTTTTTCTTCCCTTACAGCTTTGTGTCTCAAAGTGCCCAGATAGGTTTGCAACCTACATAGACATGCAGGCTTCCTACAGATATAAACCAGATCAGTGGAATTACTACAGACAATTCTGCAAACCTGGTTTTAATAATCCTTGGAAGGTATGTATATAAATATAAACATGATGGATTCTTCTTTGAATCACAGGATTGTAGAATCATAGGATCAAAAGGGACCTAAAAGACCAACTTCTTGCACAGCATTGCTCCATCAAATCAGCATAGCTCCATCAAATCAGTGAAATAGGCCAATTTTCACCAGTTGGGAATGGTTCTCTATGTGGCTCAGGGATTTGTCAGCAATCAAACACATAACATTGTCAAATCTTTCACTGTTTGCAGAAGGCTCAGGTTAATGAGAAATATCTGCAGCTTCCCATACATACTATGGATGTTGGTGATATGGAAGCCGAGTTTATCCATTAGGTAGGTTTAATTTGCAGCGGTGCACATGAGATCAGGAGACCTTAGAGTTCTACTAATTAGCTTTTTTTAACCTAGGGAGGGAGTGTTTCTCTCTAAATCAGCAGGCATATGAGTAAGTCTTTTGCAGTTTCTTATTTAATATTTTATCCAGGAACATGACTGCATCTGTTGGGTAAAGTGGCTGTTTTGAAATAACATAGTTTTGCATTCAAACATATGTTAATGTTCTTCCCACATTAAGAACACCTTGCAAGTCTGACATAAGCCTCAAGTTAATTGGTCTAAAGATAATTTTCTTCTCTGAGAAAGAAACGGGCAAAAACACCTGCCCAAACACCCCTGGTTCAGATGTAGGTCTGATGCTATAGGGTTTTTTTCTGTTAGTGTCATTAGAAAAGGCAGGAGAATAGTCTATTCCTAATTTACAATCCTGCAGGGATGCCTGGGACTTTGCTTTCATCATGTGGGTGTCTGGCAGATGTGCTAATCAAATCATGCCAAGAGGTCAAGAAGCAATTTGGGACATTTTCTTGATTTTTAATAGTCCCAAGACTGAGTAGCATTTAGTGTTTTCATCAACCCCTTTCTGTTTTTCCCTTTGTCTAGTCTGTTGTCCAAGTTATACGTGATGAAGACTGTCCTTCGATGATCATTCCAAGCAGACCTTGTGAGTGGTTATACTTCTCAGGTTCATTTCAGCAGTGTTGGCATTCACATGCAAGCACAGTTCTGCTCTGGAAGCGACTCTGATGGTATCATGAACAGGACCCTGTGTTGTCTGTCAGAGACTTCTAGATCATTTTTTGACTGTCTAAATGCATATAGATGGTTTCTAGCTGCCAGCCATGAACATTCAGCCTGGGATCAGGTCAAACCAGCTGTTCCTGGTTTATTAATCATTGCCAATAATGAGGACTCTGCAGACCAAATCATGCCTTCTGAAAACAAGTGACTAAGCAACCCCCTTATCTTCATTGACTGGCAGGAGGGTGGTAAGGCCATACTAGGATTGCCAGCCTCTCAGTTGTTTTTTATTGACAATCTGCAATCTTTCTACTGATAACCAAACTTTTTTACTGACATATTTTTACTGATGTACATTTTTCCTAATGTAAGTGTAACCCTTTTGCCAGGCCCTGTACAAGGGCCAGATTCAAATTTAGGGGTTTAACACCAACCATAGAAAAACGTTTGGTTGTCAGTAAAAAGTTTGCAGATTGCAGATTTTACACAATGCCGTCTCTACCCGAGGGGCTTTTTACTCACTCCTACATCCTGATACTCCCAAGTGCACCCTGCACCATGGTTCCCCTCCCCCCTAGACTTAGCCCTGCCAGCCTACTCTCCCCATCCTGGCATGAACCCCCACCCACCACCCCACAGGATGTCTGAGCTACACAACCCCTCCCCATCCTGCCTGGACCATGCACCCCTACCTACCTGCAACCCAGCAGTATTACAAGCAGGGACCAGATGTAGCATGGTGTAACAACCTTCAGGTTCTCTGCAGGTCAGAACAAATGTTGTAGTGGGAGATGATTTGGAGGGTGTTACTAGGAAGCTCCAGGTTGTTACAGATGGGAAAGAGAGAGCTACAGAGACTCACATTGGCAACAAAGACCTGAAAGAGCTTCATGCAGGATGCCGCACTTTCATTCAGACACTAGGTAGTGCTGCTTCAACATCCAGCTTTGTTCATGAAGCTTCACATGGATCACAGGGAGCTTCAAACAAGGCTCCTAGTGTTTTTACGGACAACTCATTTTTGCATGAACTGTATGGACAGGCATTTTGGCTTGTTTATGGAACATCCATAAATTTATGGGCAGCTGGCAACCATGGGTAAGGGCATGTCTTTGGGGTTCAGATGATACATAAAGCCACTTAGGATCTGACCTGTTTTCTATAGCTGTGCTGGCCCTGCATGACTCACAAAAAGGGGTAAGAGATGTTTTTGTCACTAAAGTCAGATGTCCTCTAATACAGATCCAGAGGTCCAAATGCTGGTTCTAGGTTCAGGAATCTAGTTCTAGAATCCTGTTCTCTGTCCAGAGAGCAGTGGTAAAGTAAGACAGTGCTGCCTTATGCTAGAGTTGAAACACTGAGGAACAGTTTCCAGGTAAGAAGAGAAATCAATCATGTTATATCTACCCTGCTAAATAGCAGAGACCTGTCAGAAAAACAGATCAGAGAACTTTTAAAAATATATATTATTTTTAAATTTGATTTTGATTACAGCTGGTTTACTGTTGCATGTGAGAGAATTTTGTTTGTAAATAGTCACCATTTATTTAGAGTGTAGCAGAGGAAATAGGGTGTCCAGGGAAGAGAGAGGTGGAAGACAGAAAATCCTCTTCAAGAACGAACCCAGGACTGTGCAGCTGGCAGCTCATAGGCCATCTGGAGCCCACAAAGGTTCAGCATGTGGCCCTCCCCCAGCCACTGCTCCCCCCCACTGCTCTG